GGGGGGGGGGTGGTATCTACTCATGGTCACATTGCGCACCGCGCTAGCCCTGGAGCATAGGCTTGTCCGTTGCCTGAGGGGGGCGTATGAGGAGGCTTGGTTCGCCAACCTGTTGTTGACGATGACGCAGTTTTGAAGTTCAGAGCTTCTTGTTTTCCCAAGCGTCCTTGACGATTAGACGAGCAGAAAGACGAGCATTAAATCTTCCACCTTCTCCTAACGCTAAGGCAACTAGTCGCATCTGATCCTTCTGAATGTCCACATCCACGGAGAAAGTGACCAATTTAAGGACCGTGACGACTGCAAGCTTGTTGAGTTACCATTACCATTGTTCAGGAAAGGCTTGCAACCGGATACTACCCATACTTTGGAAACGATATCTGGATCAGGACCTAGGTAACTCGAGATTTTTTTAGCAGAACTATTTTCACTTGACAAAGAGCTCCACGCCTGGAAATGTCTGAAGGGCTTTACTTCCAAAAATATCTGTCTTCAGAGATGATCAGGGCTGGGAATCGCACTCATGCAATAAGATGTTCGATGAAGTTCATCGTGAGTTCAAATGAATTTGGCTCTGCCGCGAGCTGTCTCGCGAACCACCAGGTCGGGAGGCAGATCTTTTGAGCGTCAGGAACTGAGTTCGCAGCGGAGAACTTTCCTGTACTCTAGCCAACGATCGGTCTTCTTTGATCTTGGCATGAATGATTCGTAAGAATAGCCATTGCATTAAGAGGGTAAGAGGTGCTCAGTGCGGTGAAGCGAACTCGTCCAGAATGCCTGAAATGCGGGTTCGATTGCCGCCTTGTGTCGAGGCTTTTGAGCATCACTCAGTCGCCACCTAGTGTAGCCACAGGCTCCAATGTTGTCGTCCTTATCGTCCGTATAGCGGCATCTTGGGATTATTGGTTCAAGTAAGACAGGCGTATAAAGCACCCTGAATTGCGCGTGAAACTGACCATGAGTGCATAGGAGCAGCCAGTGCACAGAGCACCACCCAGTCATCACCTAGGCAGCTCCTGACCAGGAGGGGAAAGTGGGAGCAGATTTTGCTCCTAGATGAGCTCTCGCTTTCTGGCCTAAACAAAATCTCCTTTTAGCCTTCCCCCCCCCCTGCGGTATGCCCAACTTTGTGATTTCATGATGACGACACATTTAATTTCACACGCAGTTTTCGGGGGTACTGCAGACCGCTCGTTTTCCTGAACTTAATCATTCCTCGGGACGTGCCCTCCCTCTACATACTGGTGCTGTACAAGGGGTTGTACGAAGGAGCACGCCGCAGCAGGGTTATGAATGGATAGAACGTTTTTTTCTGTTTTGCTAGGGTCATTACTATTTCAGAAATGCAAGGCTTAACACTGGAGGTCCTTGAAAAACTCACAAAAACTTATGAAGAAATGAGGAAAACTAACCTGGAACTACAGATCGCGTTGAAAAATATCCGAGTAAGCTGAGATTCAGTGATTAGTGATCATAATCAGGTATTTCAGCACAAATGTTCGCGCCATACCGATCAAAATACGGGATTCTTCTAACGATAAGCATGAGATCCCGAGGATAGGATACGGCATCCTTGGGCTGTCGTATCCTATCCTCGGGATATCCTATAGATTGTATTGGGTCGCTGTACTCGCACTAGACTACTACTCCTACAAGGAAATTTACGTAGTCGTAGAGTGTTTCTTTGACCAGATTCTCAATGTTGAATGTTCACAAAGTTACAGGACGCGTTAATGAGACCAGTAGAGGCGACGACGTGTTGGACGAGTGCTCCTAGCTCAGTAACACCAACGAATATTTCAACGTTCCCGCACTCAAAACTTTCCACTACGATTCCTACTTCGGTTTTGGAAGGCACCAACTCCTCGATGGATTCAAGAGTTCCAGGTAGAGAAAAACCTTTTCTCGGTGCAGATCTGCTAAAGTCATACTGATAGTCATACTGATGTACGTATCGATGAACTTGGCACACAAAACGTCTCAAATAATAGCAATAATCTTGAAACCTCAAAAGCTCAGAAAACCTTGAGCTTTACTTAATCCCTTTTCCAATGTGTCCAGCGTTCTTCTTCCAACAATTTCTGTCATTCGATCAAAAACCATTGCACCCTCCTCACTGGCTCCGCTCATCTCAAGGCGAGAGGCACCATAAATTGACAAGGCGTACATGGTCGATACGCTCAGCTCTAAATAATGTTATGCCCCTTACAAGAGGTTGACAGTTGTTAGAGGCAGTTGACACGATGGGTCGTCCAGGCGTTCGCTTGACATCCCGTGGAATCCAGTCGGTGATCGCTCTGGTCCAGCGGTCGTCCTCGAAACGCATGACGTGTCCGGCCCACCTGATCTTCGAAACCTTGGCAAATGCGGCGGCGTCTCTGATCTTCGATCGTCGGCGGAGTGCGGAGCTCCGGATTCCCTCTCTCACTTGCGTGTAGCGGGAAACTCCGAGCATCGCGCGTTGAATAACGCCAACCGCATGCTCATCCTGCTTTCGTAGAGTCCAAGTCTCTGAGGCGTACGTCAAGGCAGGAAGGACCGCGGAATCGAAGAGGTGGGCACGGAGCTTGGGCTTAATTTGTCTTGAGTCAGAGATGGTCGTTCCGTTGAGCGTGAATGGGGCATCAGATACCAATCCGTTTCTCATGAACATCGTCTTCGTTAGATTCAGCCGTAGACCGATTTTTCCACACGCGCAGTCGAATTCAGCCAGCATTCGTTCCGCTTGCTCGATGTTTGGTGTTATCAAAACGATGTCGTCAGCAAAGCGGAGATGGTGTAGTTGCCGACCGTCGATCTTCACTCCCATGTCTTCCAGTTGACGCATGACGTTCTCGAGAGAGGCGCTGAAGAGCTTGGGCGAGATGGTGTCGCCCTGTCGGACCCCTCTCTTCACGTGATGATCTCCTTGTAGAATGGTGAGATCTTGGTCGTGAAGTTGCTGTAGAGCTCACGAAGAATCCTGATGTACTGAGTAGGAATACCCTGGTTGCCCAGGGCTTCGATAACCGCTTCTGTCTCAACGGAGGCTTAACCGCTTCTGTGTCAACGGAGGCTTTCTTCAAGTCGATGAACGTGAGACATAACGGCATCTTGTACTCTCGCGATACTTCGATGAGCTTCGTTACCGTGTGGATGTGATCGATCGTGCTGAATCCTCTTCGAAACCCTGCTTGCTCGCATGGCTGTCCTTCGTCTAGTGTTCTGCCAATCCTGTTCAGGATGACTCGTGTGAAGAGTTTGTAGACTACAGACAGCAGGCAGATTGGGCGATAATTGCCAATGTCGTACAGGTCTCCCTTCTTGTACAGCAACACAGTCTTGCTGGTTTTCCACGAGGTGGGTACCTTGCATTCCGACAGGTAGCGCGTGAAGAGTCGAGCCAGAGTTTTGACAAGAACTCTTCAGATGTTCGGGTCTGATCCTGTCGGGACCGGGTGCCGTACGATTCTTCTACCGACGAGATGGCGTGCCGGACTTCAGAAGGGATAGCTGCAGGAATGACATATCGATAATGAAGGTCATTACGTCATATTGCGATCATCTCCCATGTTCAACAGAAAATAAAAGGCGCCACTCGAGGAGGCACTACGTTTCTGAGTATCTGCTCATTTCTACGCCCATTCGATTTTTGCGGAATTTCTCCAGTGCAGAAGCATAGGCAGTTTCAGCATAACAACTGACGTATTCTTGCAGAGGATTCGGGATCAGATGAGGATGATGACGAATATGGCAAAAAGAAGGAAAACAACCAAAGAAACAAGAAGAAAAGCTGAATAGCTCTGAAAATAGCGATTAGATACATAAATGAAAACGATCAATAAACTTGAGTTTAAAGGGATTTTGCAGTGGCTGTACGCTTCATAGAATTCAGCAAAGGTGATGAAGACAATTCCGTGAATGTTTTAACTCCGATTAATGATTACCAGTATCGGTTTATAGAGCCTAGCCCTAGCCTTCTAGCCTACAAATAGTTTGTATCCTACAAGACCAAAGACATATTCCATGATTGGCTAAGTCAAACTTCGTGCTTTCTCTCTCATGAGCAACGTAGTGGCACGCGATAGCGGAGACTGTTCCTCGCAGCTCAGTGCTGAGAAACAACGGCGGCAGTGGATTGAGATTAGTTACACTCCTTATCCCTGAGCCAGAGTAGGCGTGGCATTTGAACATGGCACGGAACTGGTTACTCGTGGAATATTCCAGTCTGGGACAACTGTCATCTTGTTCTGTGTTGGACAGAGACACGACAACAATTGTGTCAAGATGAAAATATCTCACCAGAAGCATAGACACCTTCAGGTTAAGTTGAAACATGCGGCCACGCCTACCCGATCTCAGGGATTTCGAGTATAACTAGCTTGGGTCCGCCCATCGAGCCGTGTCCCCAGGTGGATTCGTGGGAGAAGTGTGCTCAGCGAATGCTCTGGTATCCACCATCTTGTCCATGTTCGCCCTTTCTCGGTCATTCGTACTGGTTTCCAATCTGTTTTCCCCTTTCTTTCTGCAATGCTCATTGTAAAATGCAAAAAGAGCCTCATATTGACATTTTTGGCTGTCTTTCTCATTTTTTACGAGCTTGTCGTAACTTTGTTTTTAAACCCCACGGCACTATTCTTGCATCGCATCAAAACGTTGCATGCAGTAGGGTTGAAATTCAGCATATTAGCGCTAGTTGACTAACAAGAAAGAAGCAGGGGGACTTCTGGAACGTCCTAAATAGAGCTCTCCTCATTTCAAAAGAGAGGGGAGATCTGTTGAAACTTTGAGTGATACAATAAGCGGTACCAACACGGGGAAGAGTAACTTGCGTGAAGGAGGAGACACTTAGAAAACTTGTGTGGCGCGGTGCCAAACCCGTTCTAAGTTCTTAAAGGCAGCGCCCACGTTCACTTGATGTTCCTACGCCCTTTCTGGATATCATAGCCCTCCCCATAAGGATGCAGTATGTACTAGTTTTGCATCTCACAAAGGCGAGAGGATAGCGCCTATCGCTAGTAAAGAGTCCCCACCTGGCGACCACGACGCCCAACTTCATTTCTAATGGTTGCCTGATGGTGCGGTTGTTCCATTGCTGCTTCTCTCCACGTCGTGTGGTGAGAGTGAGGTGATAAGGGGAAACAGCTGAAATCAACAAGTGAGAACTCGTGCAACCACTCCTTCTCTTCGCCTTAAGCACGTACAACCGCTATTCGGTATGAAACTCCTTATAGGGCATTTTGCATGTTTCTTTTTGATTTTTCTTCACTAATAGGTTTCTTGCTACCTTGCTATTACTACCTGAGCCGCATACTCATCAAATTTGAACGGGCGCTGCCTTTACAGAGAGCAAAGACAGGGATGTATCATATCGTTCGTATTACTCGTTTTCTACCACTTTTTGTCGCATGCGCGCTTCAACAAGAAGGCAGAGAACGGCTTTGACGGGTGACACACTCATACTGCCTGACACGCCCAACCGTGCACAGTGAACTAGAGTGTACGGTCGTATAATCATAAATGTGGAGCACATCCAATTCATATGGTACCTCGGCGCCCTTGACTAAGCAATAAGCGGGCGAGGGTGGGGGAAAGGGGGGAACACATCCCTCGGAGTAAGTTCTTAACTAAATCAACAATACAGTAATCTCCAAGTTCTCCCTTCTTGTAACCTCGGCATGATGTCGAATATTTAGTTATTTCTGCCAAACGAGGTTATTAGATAGAACCTTTTATTGGCCCGACGTTTCGACCTTCTCGTCTTCTTCAGAGGCCTGAAAATGGCTCGAAGCTTTCAATTTGTCACCTACCCGATCAAGCGCCTTCCCCACTCTAGCGTTTCCGACGTCGTGTTCCGAAACCCCCGAAGAACCCAGCAATAACTGCGCTCAACTCACCGAGGTTCCACCGTGCGGAGCCTAGCTCACGCTATGTGTCAGTAGTGTAAGTAAGACGAATGAGTCTCACTAGAGTCTCATCGTGTCACATAAGCCAAATTGTCATTGTGCACGTCGCCCTTACTGTAGCTCGCACTCTGATACAAACGGCAAGAACTCATTAGTAATTGACGGACATTCGTTTCGGCCGTTCATCCCTTCATACAAAAATGGTTTCTTCGCATCATCCAGTGCTATGTCACCTAATGCTTAAAATGCAAAAATAGCATAGGAACGAAACGCATAGTATAAGCCCCCTTAACAGAACGCACAACGTTACTAATACTTATCATTTATAGAGCTTGAAATGGCGCGAGTTTCATTTGGTAGGCCAAACACGGTTCATTGTAATGACGACATTTCCTATTACAATCGCCTGCCTGCTAAAAATCGCTGTTACACTATACTCGTGGATAACGCCTTTGAGGCAGCGTTCAGACCCCGCGACGGCAGCGCTTCGGTCGCGCGTTCGACGCGATAAGTGACGTCGAAAGCATGCGTGTCGAACACGAGACCGAAGCGCTGCCGTCGCGAAGTCTGAACGGTGCCTGGGTGGCGTCATCCCTTTTATGATTTGCCTAGAATAGAGGTCGGATGAGATTCAGGCACCAGTCAAGAGACGATTTCGCAGAAACAGAAAAAAATACCACAGGGGACTGAAAGCATGCTTTGTTTCCAAGTAATGTTGTTTAGTGGAGCATGTTAGCGTTGCAATTAGTACAAGTGCAAAGCATGTCAGCCACCACAAACTGCGCCCCAGCTGGACATGAATAATTCACGATCGCCTAGAATACGAATCTAACTGAGCGTTGGACATTGATGCTAATGTTTAGTTATTTCTGCCAAACGAGGTTTTTAGATAGAACCGTTTTATTGGCCCGACGTTTCGACCTTCTCGTCTTCTTCAGAGGCCTGAAAATGGCTCGAAGCTTTCAATTTGTCACCTACCCGATCAAGCGCCTCCCCCACTCTAGCGTTTCCGACGTCGTGTTCCGAAAACCCCCGAAGAACCCAGTAATAACTGCGCTCAACTCACCGAGGTTCCACCGTGCGGAGCCTAGCTCACGCTATGTGTCAGTAGTGTAAGTAAGACGAATGAGTCTCACTAGAGTCTCATCGTGTCACATAAGTCAAAATTGTCATTGTGCACGTCGCCCTTACTGTAGCTCGCACTCTGATACAAACGGCAAGAACTCATTAGTAATTGACGGACATTCGTTTCGGCCGTTCATCCCTTCATACAAAAATGGTTTCTTCGCATCATCCAGTGCTATGTCACCTAATGCTTAAAATGCAAAAATAGCATAGGAACGAAACGCATAGTATAAGCCCCCTTAACAGAACGCACAACGTTACTAATACTTATCATTTATAGAGCTTGAAATGGCGCGAGTTTCATTTGGTAGGCCAAACACGGTTCATTGTAATGACGACATTTCCTATTACAATCGCCTGCCTGCTAAAAATCGCTGTTACACTATACTCGTGGATAACGCCTTTGAGGCAGCGTTCAGACCCCGCGACGGCAGCGCTTCGGTCGCGCGTTCGACGCGATAAGTGACGTCGAAAGCATGCGTGTCGAACACGAGACCGAAGCGCTGCCGTCGCGAAGTCTGAACGGTGCCTGGGTGGCGTCATCCCTTTTATGATTTGCCTAGAATAGAGGTCGGATGAGATTCAGGCACCAGTCAAGAGACGATTTCGCAGAAACAGAAAAAAATACCACAGGGGACTGAAAGCATGCTTTGTTTCCAAGTAATGTTGTTTAGTGGAGCATGTTAGCGTTGCAATTAGTACAAGTGCAAAGCATGTCAGCCACCACAAACTGCGCCCCAGCTGGACATGAATAATTCACGATCGCCTAGATACGAATCTAACTGAGCGTTGGACATTGATGCGAATGTTTAGTTATTTCTGCCAAACGAGGTTTTTAGATAGAACCGTTTTATTGGCCCGACGTTTCGACCTTCTCGTCTTCTTCAGAGGCCTGAAAATGGCTCGAAGCTTTCAATTTGTCACCTACCCGATCAAGCGCCTTCCCCACTCTAGCGTTTCCGACGTCGTGTCCGAAACCCCGAAGAACCCAGCAATAACTGCGCTCAACTCACCGAGGTTCCACCGTGCGGAGCCTAGCTCACGCTATGTGTCAGTAGTGTAAGTAAGACGAATGAGTCTCACTAGAGTCTCATCGTGTCACATAAGTCAAAATTGTCATTGTGCACGTCGCCCTTACTGTAGCTCGCACTCTGATACAAACGGCAAGAACTCATTAGTAATTGACGGACATTCGTTTCGGCCGTTCATCCTCCTTCTTACAAAAATGGTTTCTTCGCATCATCCAGTGCTATGTCACCTAATGCTTAAAATGCAAAAATAGCATAGGAACGAAACGCATAGTATAAGCCCCCTTAACAGAACGCACAACGTTACTAATACTTATCATTTATAGAGCTTGAAATGGCGCGAGTTTCATTTGGTAGGCCAAACACGGTTCATTGTAATGACGACATTTCCTATTACAATCGCCTGCCTGCTAAAAATCGCTGTTACACTATACTCGTGGATAACGCCTTTGAGGCAGCGTTCAGACCCCGCGACGGCAGCGCTTCGGTCGCGCGTTCGACGCGATAAGTGACGTCGAAAGCATGCGTGTCGAACACGAGACCGAAGCGCTGCCGTCGCGAAGTCTGAACGGTGCCTGGGTGGCGTCATCCCTTTTATGATTTGCCTAGAATAGAGGTCGGATGAGATTCAGGCACCAGTCAAGAGACGATTTCGCAGAAACAGAAAAAAATACCACAGGGGACTGAAAGCATGCTTTGTTTCGAAGTAATGTTGTTTAGTGGAGCATGTTAGCGTTG